GACAAAGCCAAAGCAGCCAGAATCAACATCTGGATTGCTGGTGTCATTGGTAATAAAACCGATGCGATGCAGGCGTTTGTTTGAGAAACCAGCTGGAAAGGTCACGTCCCGTCCAAACCAGCGCACGAAAAGAACATCCATACGCCTCGAGGTCGAAGGTGTGTTATCACCACCATAGTACCAAACATTGACGTGAAATATGCGGATTAGTCGAGCATACCAGTAAGGATGCTTTTCCTCATCATTCTCGTGTGAGAGGACCATTAAATCAGCTCGAGTTCGAGGGTTAATACAATCCTGTTCCCTTCTTAGATCGTAGGTCGTGTAATTGATCTGTAAAATACTATGCTCGTGAATCTTGTTGTTTGCCAGGATAATGAGGTCTCGGTCTGAATTGGAAAAGTCGTGTTCATCGCCTGAATATTCAATACCTCGGAGACGAGCAAGGAGATGATCTTTGAGCCGGGGGATGAAGTTCTGAAGGGAGCATTGTCAATACATATACAAGCATGTATGCAAAAAATAGACCATTTTAGCAGGATCATCGTCTTCAAGATCACTCAACCAGCCAGTAAGGTCGTGTGATGCCCTGGGATATTTCGAGATGTGATAGTGATCGGAGGGGGATGTTCGTTGTCGTTGTCGTCTTGACTGCCCCAAGCGTACAGCAATGACCCTACCCACTTGAGTGTTGATCTTTGCAATTAGACGAGTTCGTGCCTCTTGAACCACCATATTCTTCAGCAGCGTCTTCTTGTTCTTTGGTGTCCTAGGATACCAGCGTTTAGCACGTCGGTGCTGCAGCTCACCCTAGGAGAACACCACTAAGCACTAATTCAAAAGTTAATTGTAGCACTCACCGGTTGTGTTGAATAGTTATCTGTTGTTCCCATGTGTCGGATCGTATTGGGATAGTCTCCGAGCGCATGGTACTTGTATGTCTGAAGGTTAAGGTTCTTGACCTTTGGGCCAGATGACTTTCCCTTCCCCTTTTGCTTCGAAAGTAGACCTTGCTTGGCACTCAGAGCAGCTTCGCGTCGTCCTCGTGTTGCGTACTCCTGGGGAAGTTCAGTAGTATGGTAGTGCATACATGTACTATTCTGAAAATTCCGGACTGTCTTTCCAAGAATAACTGTAGCATGGTCGAAGAGCGAAAGTGTATCATCAGTGTGCAAGCGGAGCTTGGCAAAAGCATGCCACACTGCTAAATCAAAAAGTAGGTCCAAGACCATTGAATTGTGAAGTCCTGGTAGGAGACCCTCGAAAACCGGAAGAGCACACTACATAATATCATAAGCACGACGCACAAACAATTCTATCGAATTACCTGGAGAAGATCTTCAAAATCTCGAGCTGCTAGTCGCTTCATAGCTGAAGCATTTGTATGGAATCGTCGAATAGTGCCACGGCCGAAAGTGGGGATCATTCGGTAGCTTCAATCACATGTTAGATTAGCAAAAGGCTATGAATGTAATTACTCACCGTTCGTTTAGATCCTGAATCACTGTACCACCTTGAGCATGGAGAATGCGCAATAAGTGAATAAAGATGGCCTTCCAAACGCCAAGTTCAAACTCGTGCAGTAGATCAATCACAAACATCATGAACACATTGAAGTCGAATGGTGCGAGCTGAACTGAAAATGCATTCTATGTTGGTTCATTGAGTATCAATGTGAGAATGCACGGAAAAGACAAACACTCACACGAACAGGAACATAAGATTCAGCATTGAGAAGCGCTTTGACACGAGCACCATCAACAGATGCACCTGTTTGAAAAATAAGTTTGCGAGCATCTTCTACACGACGTCGGCGCCGTTCATTATCCACCCGTTGCCTAGTCTCTCGGCATTTCATATCAAGCTTGGTGCCCATATCAGGGACATTAGCTTTCTTGACGAGGCAGCGTGGGCATAGACAGTTGCCTAAAAACTTGATGGTTGCAAGAAGAACCCTAGTAGTACAATAAGCTACTAAGCACAACAATTAAAGAAAAACTTAGACGCACTTCTCAGGATAATCTGCAGAATACGAAAAAAATCGAGGAAAAACGCGCCGTGTGATTCCATCACTACAATGAATGACTACACCATGCTCGTAGGCGTGCATAAAGTCACCATCAAGCAACAGCTTCCAGATCGCTTGGACGAGTTCACGCTTAAGGAATGTGTGGACCTGGTCTGTTGTGGCTTCGTCAAATATGTCAACATATATTTCTTGAAGATTGTTGGGGAGCTGTAATATATATAACTCAACTGCCATATAAACAGTAATGAAGATAAAACATACCGAGGGAATGTAGGCGAGGTGGTGACACGCAAAAGATGTTGGTTTTCCTCGGGTGTACTTAGATTGGTTGCCAAAGTACAGGTAGAATGGCCATAGCGAGGCGTCTCCGAAACTGGCAAGATGGGTCGCATCAGACCACATCATGAGAGGGGCCAGCACACGTTCGAGGTCGTCATCTGGCTCACGAGGAAAGGCATTGATCTCGGCATAGGCATCGAGCATGGCAGGTGAGGAGTACGCTTCGGAGAAAACTTGGACTGTTTTGGTGTCAGAGACCTTCCAGTACTCGGAATAGGGAGTCATGTGGAATGTCTTGGCAATGTCGTCCTCGAACGTTGAGCGGATGATTGACATTATCGAGCGGTGATAAATGCCTGGCACCTCAAGTTCTGGTGCATCCTTCTCAGATGGCCATGTCTGTCGTTCTTTCGGAAGGCGTATTCTGACTGTTGACTGACGCCAGCCAAATTCTTCTCGCAGTGGATTTGTCTTATCTTGTAGATATTTGTCCATCAGTTTGGACTCACGAGCGCAGTTGAAGCCAAGCAGGTCTTGCAATTTGAAGGCTGGGTGCTGATGGAAGTGAGATAGTCGGTTAACTTCAGCATCGGACTTGTCATTAGTTCCAGTGTAGCGCCAGGTCATCATCAACCCACACGTCGGATTGGTAAACGGATCGAAAATATGATCTATATCCACATCGGGTGGTGCAAATCCTGTAGATGCATGCACATCGGATGACTCTGCTCGTTCTCCATCTAGTGTTGGTGCATCTGTTCGATTAACTAGAGATGAGTCGTTCGGAGGAATGAATGTGGGGTGCGTAGGGTAGATTCGATATAAGCCCATGGAATCTGGCTCGGTCTCGAATGGTTTGGCCAATGGCTGCTCATCGAGAGAAGGCTCAGATGGAGGTCGTGGAGGAGATGGGTGATACTCGGGTTGTTGCCGTGGCATGTGTGCCAGGGGTATATCTGAGCCAGGAAGATAGTCGATGAACCGTCGAGGCATGCGGATAGCACGCCCCGAACGTTTTGAAGTAATGGGTGGAGGTGGGGTGGGCGGAAGTGCCTGAGCTGACGGTCCTGCAACAGGTGCATCCTAAAAGAAATTACTACGATACATGCATATAATCAGTCATGAACTTACTACATCATGTGGCTGACCTGAAGGCCCTGCAGCCTGAGGATCATCAAACGGAATGTTCTGATCAAGGTCGACGTAGTCGAGTTCTTGCTCAACAACGGGGGTAGGTAAACGAGACTTCTTGGCATTGCGGAGCTTGTCTCTGGCTTGCGACTTTCGTTTGTTCTCCCGCTTTGCAAGAACTGACTCCAGGGTGAATGCGCGGTTCTGCTGGCATTGCGAGGCATGCTTGGAGAGCTGTTTCTGTGTTTTGTAAGATTTCCCACAACCAATGCAAGTAGGAATGTCCATGGCGAAAGCCTGCAACGAAAACTTGAGAATATGAAGGGCAGGGAATCAACTCACAGGTTTGGAGTGCTGAGGTTCCAAGTCGGAGCTGATATTCAGCAGCCATAAGGTCACCATGCGGAGAGGAAAGGTCGGTTCCTTATGTAGAGACAGAACTTCAGAATATGAATAACGGAGAATCACTCACCTTGTCATTCCGAGTTGAATATGGCCATTGGTCACGCAATAAGCACAATAGATCCCCAAGTTTGTGGTGGCACTCAAACCGGAGGGTCTATTGAGCTGACCGCATGAGGGTAATGCGAGATGAAAGGGCAAGGTCACTGCACTAAGTAACCGCGAGTCCCGGGCCATGAAGAAGTGTCACAGCATGTGACATGTTGGCCAACTGGCCGATTGAGATCAGGACATATCTGGGGAGCATGAATAATATCTGAACTTACCAGAGGCACGTCAGACTGACGGGAACCTTAGGAACACACAAGTGTGCTGCTGTACGTCTGAGGGAGTGGTGTTCAACGTGCGAGCTCATTGCCATCACACGTCATCACACCGTCGGCTCTCACAAGTGTGTGGCGCGGGAAAATGTCCGCATAAGGCAAGTTCAGACTTGGGGAATTTTGGTGATGAAACGGCATATGATATCGCGGCTAGGCTAACATGGTCCCATTCGTGAGGGGCTTACTCAGGTTTAACCAAGTTAGATCGATTCGCGACGCTGGACTGCCGTGTCATGTACTGCTGTCTCTTGATATGCAATAAAACCTGTCCGAGTCCCCTGTGCATGATGAAGCTGAGGGGCTCCGCTTGCCTTATCACCGTGAGATCTTGACGTAAAATGTCGTTATAGCTATAGTTCAGCTACTGTTGCCGGATCTGATTATATTCCAGCGTCAGTCAGAAGGCACAGGATAATGAAACAGACCCCAACTAGGTTGTGCAGTGTCCATTACAGATTGAACGGGCCATCTCCGAGTCCAAATCATGTGCGCAGGGGGCTTAGTTTGATTGATTTTACCAGTAACAAGCAATGTGCATGATCATAGATTTACATAAGATGCAGTGCACTGAGTGCTTGGTGGGCTTATCTCAGTAGAGAAATCTGATGATGATCGTGATTGGGGATCCAAAAACACAACGAGGCGGGGGATGTTGATGCATCGATGATGAACGGAACGATAACACTATAGTTTGCATAGTACCTCTCATAGTCACGAGTTGCAAAAATGAAAATTCATTTTTGTTTATTTTCACTTATTCGTGACCTTCACGATTTGCCAACAGAAAGGGCGGCGTGACAGACAAGGACGAAAAAGCTGGCAATTTACAAACACGCGGCACAAAAATACCTAAAACGCAAATCGACACAATAAAGCTTCGATCATCGGGAAGTTCTTGATCTGGAACAACGAGGACGGGAGGAACCAAGGAATCAACAACAGAATGAGTGGGGAAGTAGTCATGGCACACAGGAGGATGCTGAAAACAGAGCAAAAGATACGGGACTAATAAGGTGTTGTCAGTCACTTTGAAAGCAAATACAGGCTACAGTTTCACTTAGGTGTCCGACAACGTCCAAAGCTGGCTGTTGTCACCGTCATCTGGGACAGCGAGCGTGATCTACCAAATACGAATCGTGGGTTACTCTGTCTGGCACATAATGAGCTTGAAGGCATACCGGGGTTGAATTCTCGCCGTTCTCAAGCACGCAAACCAATTCCCCTTCCTGGGCTTGGATCCTGTGCGGAGATAAGTAACTCGTACGAGGATGGGTTACAGTTATCAGCCGTATTACTCACATGTATTGCCCCATGTCATTCTGTTTGACCAACGTCCACTTCGTGGCGATGTGGCTGCCGAAGAGCTCTCGGCCCTGTAAATTCAAAGAAATGTACGTCACAGCAGTACATTATGGTAGCAAACATGAGATTTCTTACAAGAGTCTCTTGCTCAGCCCTCATATATATTCCGTTTCCGTTGTTGGTCAATTTGACAGTGATGTTATTGCCTTCTGCATCCATCTCGAGGACTTGCACGAACCACTACGCTGATTGTGAGCTTGCGCACTCTGAGTCAAAGAATGAACACTGACACGCTGGTGCTGGTTTGTGCCATTGGCATCGTAGGCATAGCCGGTAATAGGAGTGCCATCAGTGCTGCCGCCTTGTTGCAAGTCAATGACCTGGTTGGGATACATGACATTAAAGATCTTGCGAGTGCCGCTCAGCATAGTAGTAAGATGCGCTATGAGCTGAAGTATATGAGTAGCTTGAGGGTTGGCAGATGTTTCGATCGATGAAACTTAGGAAGTTAGCATCGAAGGCAACAAGCTTTATATGCTGGGGGATATCGATGATAGTCATGAGTTCAAGCTCAGTCAAAATCCACAATAGCACATACACAAACTTCTTCTGAAAATGACCTGGCATGTGTAGTATCGATTAGGCTGGTTTTCACCCTTTCTTTCTCCATAGGTGCAAGTTACTTAACGTGGCGTTCTCCTTCTTCATATTCAAGTAAAGAAAACTACTTACGAGTCGGGGGAGCTAGTACGGACTCGGAGTGTAGAGTAGACGACCAAAAATAGGAGCACAAAGTACTTCATCTCTCTATTTTGACTTGTTTGCCGCTACACTCCATTACTTCTTTCGGTCTCTTACTACTACTACCGCACATCATATTCCTCCGGACTTGGCACAAGTTGCCTATCAAGCGTTCTCGCAGATGCTCACCGGTGCACCCATCGCGTGTCAGCATCTCTCGATGAAGAAGCGGCTTTATTAGCAATCTACTTTGGTAGATCAGACTGACCAGTACTCTTGGAAGTTGCAATGCAGTGCTTGATGATCATATTGACGTTCAACATTTAGTAATCTTGTTAACCCCACTGCAATTCGAAGGGAGTACTATCTATGGCCCCATCTTGATGGGTTCATAGTTCATGCTCATAAGAGATAAGAAGGTTCATGAGGTGTGCACGAAATCCCTTTTTTACTTCTCGAACGAATGCAGACGGACTCTTACTATTCAGCTGACGATATCGCAACGGCGAAGGGTCAGCAATTCTTAGCAGTAGGTCATTTTCTTGCTGATGTGAGGAGGGTAATGCAACAACAGACATTATCACGATATGCTGCCAGTACTACATATTCGGTGCGTACTACTGTCTGAACTCTTCTTGGATTGCTGTTCTAACTTGACAGTTCAGTGTCGATGGCTACACTCTGGGTAGGGTTTCCCAAACTATTCCCATCCGCTGCTAGACTTCCTTATCCAGATCTATGATTATGCTTGTTCATTTCACGAAGAGGTAATGCACTAGTTCGTGCACGTTTCGAATTCTATACTGATCATAATATGCTTGAACTCAAAGTTGACGTTCCTGTTTCGATCGCGCTGGACCAAGGTTAAAGGCCTTTATGTTATTGCACGATATGTCCCCTTTCTCATCCTCATCACGCACCAGTATTGTACGTTCAACTCTAGTATACATCTCACCGATTATGAGTTGACATACTGCGTTTCAGTGTATCTCACCCCGAATGAACATACCAATGTATGTGAACGTGCAGTGAACTTGCCTCAGCGATGAATGCTTACTGTCTTTTACAGAAATGCGGGATGGTGAAGAGCATCTACTTCGGTACGTGCGCAGTACACGCTGCATGCACATTCTTACCGAACGCTTCTCTGTCCTCTCACAGGTTTAAGTGTCATATCAATCGCTTGTTCTGAATGTATGTCTCCTTTCCCTGAGATATACACGTGCTCCTTATCCGATTCATCCAGTCTTGTATTTGCTCAGAACATATGTGCTCTGGAACAAGAATGGAATCGTACTCACAGCCATGTTGTCCGTCTTTTTTGTGAGTCCCTTCAGTCTCACCGCACTCCAGGCTGGTTGTAGATGCAGTGCAGGTTGTGACAGTTGCAGCGATCGCTGTTGACGTTGTCACTGTTGACGTCTCACATGGTTTGCGCCTACCTCTTACCACTATTTGCGCATATTCACTGCACTTTCGCAGTTGCGATCAACATGATGCAGGGCACCCAAGGCTGCTACCGGACCTTATCTGGTGTCCAAATTTCCATAACGTTTGTTCTCTTGTTTGGGTTTCAACTAGGTTTGTCACCGGAAACCGGAAGCATGCGCGCTGATTGATGTTCTCCTTAGGACTCGCCCTCCTCACATTCATACGTGCCGTACAGAGGTGGCGGGCGGTGAATTGCCCTCTGTACGACGTCCTGGTGAAGCATAACATATTTTACTATACATGCGGTCTGCGTAAGTTAGGACACATATGTTTTCGTGCTCACCGAATGATGGTTCTTGTTCTGATAGTCCTCTCAGCCATTAACGTCCTAACGCAGACGTTGTTGTCAAAAGTGTGTGAAGCCCAATTACCCTTCAACATGATTGAGTTAATGATTTTCTGCACACCCAGACTGCATACCCCCTTGTCTGCGAAGAGTATGTACCTGCTCGAGAATTCCTAATGACAACACCAACCACGCCTACAGTTTCCAATTCTACTTCCTCGCGATCTTGGCCACGCGCATGCACCTCTTTCTCTGGCAGGCCGACCAGCAGACGCATGGCTCTGACACTCTCGTACATATTCCTATGTCCGACGTGTCACCTGCAGACTCTGCAGTTACTACAGTGTGATGTCTCATCGCATGGTTTATTCGGCGTCGTTCGTGGAGTGAGGCTTGGACTGAACGAGATGGTCGTGGGGTGGTTTTGTCAGGTCGAGATGCGCTTAAGTTATAGGACTGCATTTTTTGTCGTACACAGGCGGGAGGTACATTTGGATGGACTGGTCTATTTATCATCCATGGGTACTGCGAGCAGATAACAATCAGAATTTAGGATTCAAACGTGGAGCCAGAAGCACGGCATGATGGCAATGTTCAGTAGTGAAAATGACTTTAGCACATCAAGATCCTAAAACCTCACCGGGACCCTTTTTTTCCGAACCGAAAGCGTCTTCGTGCACTGGTCATATATTCCAACGTGACGAAATCCTTTTGAGTCCCTGGTGCCGCGGTGTGAAATTCAGAATGTGGTAAGCAGCACTGTAATACTGTGTGCGAGTTTTATTGGTCTAATGATAGCTCCAGAAGGTTCAGAACACGTGTATTTTTTTTATCGCAAGTTGTTTTCACTTGCTTTTTGAGGAAAACTCAAGGTTTGCAAGCAGGTGGTGTGGCGGTGCCGTGTTTGAGCCGCGCTGATCGTTACCACGGAATCTTGGCGCAAATCTTTCGTTTGCACAATCCTTCCAGCACGAAGATGCCAAATTGCCAATGTTGCTGGTACAGCTAGTTTTTCGGCAGAATTGGAGCGGGGCTAGCGTGATGCCAATGCCAATATATGGGACATTTGCATACGGGATCACAACATCGCCGAGTCTTGCCCAATCCTGTCAATCAACCCCATGGCCAGTTATGTAAGTACAAGTTTGACTCTCAGCTGGTCTCCCTCCTAGCTTTCGTCATATTGATGCAGGACACCACACGATTAGCCCTAACCTAGCCATGGGCGCTGGTGTCATTGTACGTAGAACCTTTTTATCCACGTGTTAAAACCCTTCAGACTTTGTCGGGAACGAGTTACTTCCAGCCCGATTCCACGAGCGCTTGGTATGTACCCGTGATGAGATAAATACTCATCCATTCCATTCTTTCTTGGTCATTTCTTCTGCACATCATGAATTGTCTCTTGTTGGCTACGTTTTTGGCCGTTCTCGTGCTGCCCAGTTTAGTTCGTTGCACGACACAGCAGGCCTTTCAACATCTTCCATCTGTGCCAATCGTGAAGTTAGATGATGCGTTATTCACCGGCACGTTCATTGGCGATGCGGCGCAATTCTTAGGCATTCCCTTCGCTAAACCCCCGTCAGTATGACCATCACGATCAAATATTTATTGACTCAATGTCTGTGGCAGTATCGGGAGCCTTCGCTTCCAGGTCCCTCAACCAGTGCCTTCTTATGAGGGTTCACATACTGCAGTAGCCCATGGTCCCGCCTGCCCCCAACAGAAGTTACCAATACGAAGAGGGATAGGCCGAGTCATCACTGAATCAAGCGAAGATTGTGAGTGTTTAAAGTCCAGCTTCATGCCATTTATGTGAACTATTTGCTCTCAGGTCTTACGCTCAATGTATTCACGCCTACCGTCATACTCCCTGGATCAAAATTGCCGGTAGTCGTGGTCAGTCTTGGTAGCATCTTGTTTCAATGTGGCTGAGACGCAACTGCAGTATATATTCGGTGGTGGTTTTGAAACCGGGAGTAGTCAATCGTGAGTTATCAAACATATTTGTGCATCAAGATGATGAATTACAATCCATGCATACAGAGAGTTCGGTAATATCACAGTCCACAAGTCATTGAAAATGCACGAACCAGTTATCTACGTTAGCATGAACTATCGGTGATGGTTGTTCTGTTATCTCACATACTTGTTCTGACAGCGATGTGTCGCAGGTTGAGCGGTAGGTTACCTCATAGATATTGAACTTTACTTACATCAGTGTAGCTTGGGGATTCCTAGCGAGCAAAGAAGTCAAGCAGGCTGGGACCGGAAACTTAGGCCTCCGAGATCGTGAGGTCCGATTTCCTTTGACTTTATTTGAACTAATAATTCCACCAGAGCGACTTGCACTTCACTGGGTCCAAAAATACATTAGCTCGTTTGGTGGAGATCCAGCAAAGGTGACTATGTGAGCGTCCTTTTAATGGTGTATGTATGACTTTGATGAACCTCGACACCACAAAGATGGGGCGAAAGTGCCGGAGCGATATCTGTTGCTCTCCAGATGCTCGCTTATGATGGTAACAATGACGGTCTCTTCCGCGCGGCATTTATGCAGTCAGGGTCCCCGACACCTATGGGTGATATCACCAATGGTCAACGGTATTATGACTTTCTTGTTGATACAACAGGTTGCAATGAGGCAATCGATACATTGGAATGCTTGCGAGCAGTACCTCAGGAAATTCTGCAAGCCGCTGTGGATAAAACACCGTCTATGTTTTCTTACCAGGTTCTTAACTAGGTTTCAGCATCAATATTTTGACATTGACAAACATCATTATGGCAGTCACTTGATTTGGTTTGGATGCCAAGGGCAGATGGAATATTTTTGACGGACAACTTCCAGCGCCTCGTCCAACAGGGGAAAATTGCAAATGTACCTTTTATCACAGGTATGGGCGTTTTGTCGCTTTGAGTGGCATGTGGCTAATTTGGGATATAGGTGACTGCGATGATGAGGGGACAGCTTTCGCATTCAGTACTACTAACATCACGTACTGAAACCTACTTTTTCCTGGTCGAGGGCCCTGATTTACCTCACTTATTTTAGGACAAGTGAGGAATTTCATGAATATTTGAAAGCGTATTGGGCACGCAATGCAACAGACGAGGAGATCGATAGAATCCTGCTCATGTATCCTCAAGATCCAACAGCAGGATCTCCGTTTGGAACTGGAACTCGTGACCAGCTGACCCCGCAGTTCAAGCGCATAGCTGCTTTTCAGGGAGATGCCGTCTTCCAAGCTCCGAGGCGGTTCCTTATATATGAGCGGTCGGGGAAACAAAAGATATGGACCTATCGTGCGTGGAAGTTCTTTACCCGTTCAAACAAGCATAGCCACCCCTTTAAACAGTCAGCAAGGGTCTCAAGGTAGTTCCGTTTCTAGGCGCGGTACGTGGATATTCAGTCAAGACGTGATGGAGGTGTTACTCAATTTGTCCTAGTATCACAGCTCCGACTTCGTTTACGAGAAGTGGGGTATGCAAGGGAGCTTGTTGCATCTCTTGATCCATTTTGCAGCACACCTCGACCCTAATTGGATTCCTAATAGTGTTTTCTGGCCGGAATACACTGTTGAATCGAAGGATATGTTGATGTTGGGGGAATGGCCTTGGTCTGCACCCACTATTATTCAGGACACGTACAGAAAGGAGTCGATGGAGTACTTGATAAATTTTACTCTGACTTACCCTCTGTAGTACTCGTATGTTTGACAGTGCCTCACGTGTACAGTATCATATGTGTAGTCCTATGTGACTAGCACTATCATCAAGGTGCAGGTTGCACATTTCTCATGGCGACTTGTATGATGTGTGTGGGGTCGAAGCTATTGAAGACACCTGAGTCTTTCATGCTGTCCTGCACGAGAAGATTCTGCTATATGCTTGCTGCATGGAGGAGCAAAGTCAACCATGCGGCAGCATGATAATTTGTGTCGGTGCGCTGATACTGATGTAATAGACACAGGAAGTTGAACCGATTAGGCGAATTGCAACACTCTGAACTCACCATGCTTATCCCGAACGGTATCGTTTTGATAAACGGCGATCGAGGATTGCGTCGCCAACCAATTTCCAGTCACCGGTACCACCAGGGTGAAAAGTCGCAGGGCCAGTTGTCGCTCGTGAAACTTCAAGTTCGTCACCCGCTTCGATATGCGGAAGTCATGGGACTAGGGAGGATTCAAAACACAGCATTGAAATTGGGAGAAAGATGAGCCTACCGGTCGAGTACACGCAAGGAGCTTCAGCTTCAAGCTCAAGTTGCAACGTAGACATATCGAAGGGTTGAAGACCTCGGGTTCGAATGAAGAAAATGTGGAAGCGAGGATCTCGTAAGTTGGCAAATAGGTCTTAGCCGAGCGCCTGTACATCATTTTGTCACAGCACTTGATCTGTGCATCAAACACGAGGATAACTTTGTATACACGCTGAGTACACCCTCAGATCAAATTTTGATTTGATTTGACACTTCCGAGTCTTAACAGCTCCCACCGTCTCAGCGTCAACCACTCACATTGGTGCTTGGAGTGTGCTTTCCGTGTAAGTTGGTTTCAATTCGTGAGTGCTCTTCTGTTAAACAAAGTTTGGCCACTCACTTCATCGCAAAGATCATCAGAAAACTTTGAAAGACGCCACCTTCCGCATACTTAGCTGTCCTGCATCGAAGAGAGTCGAGGACAGGCCTCCCCTGGGCCAGCAAGCTTTTCCCTCAGTGCAAGATCGCCCGTTCTAATTCGAAATCACGGCAGGCGCTCTCACATACATTGTCCACGATCTGTTTGTAGTGGAGGCGCCGGACGCTGAAAATGACCTCCGCAATCAGTAAGAAGCAACAGACGCCGGCTGTCGCTCCCCGCCATAAGATGCGAGGCCATACCCACGGCATACGAGGTGTCGCGTATCTGCGTTGTGGGCAACGGATCATCACATGTTCTGGTGATGGCTCACTCCGACTATGGGACCTGCAGAGTGGCACACAAATAGGTCATGATTGGCGAGATGGTGAGGATGAGGACGATGAGATCGGAGTGACTGCCATAGCATTGTCTCCGAATGGTGATACTGTTGGGAGCGGATACCTTGATGGGAAAGTGAGATTATGGGATGTCGAAACGGGGAAGGTCACTGCTAAGTGGACAGGACATACTCAATTCGTGCTGGCAGTGTGCTGGAGTCCAGATGGTACGCGAGTGGCGAGTGGATATCATGATGGGACGGCAAGGATGTGGGCCCTTGAGACCGGCGACTCGGAAACTATCCTTGGCCCGATCAAGACTGGGCATCAGTGGGTGTGGGCTATAATATACTCACCGGACTCAACCAAAATTGCGACGTCGACAGGCGGATTCAACGAGAGTACAATCAAAATCTGGGAGGCCAAGACAGGCGAGCTGCTCGCCATACTCGACCACGACCCATTGGCAGTCCACAGCTTTGCCTGGACATCAGATGAAAAGAAACTTATCTCCGGGTCATTCGATGGTTCAATTAGGATCTTCGAAACCGCCACATGGCAGCAAATCGCAATCCTCCAAGGGCACAACAGTGTTGTCTACGCCATGTCCGTGTCTCAGAACAACTGCCTACTTGCAAGTGTATCATGTGATGAAACGGCGCGTCTGTGGAATCTCGACACCAACTTACCAGTTGGTCATCCCCTCCCACACAATAATCGTGTAGAATGTGCGGCCTTTTCCGCTAATGGGAAGCTGCTAGTCACTGGTTGCTGGGACCAAAGTGCGTATGTATGGGACACCTACGCAATTCTCGAAGAAGCGGGCCTTCAAGACCTTTTGTCTCATTCCGATGTGAGTGCAAACAATCATCCACCTTATCTTCCTGTTGATATTTGCTCTTAGGAATTGCAGGGTGGACACGAAAAAAAGGTTCATAGCGTCCCATCATTCTTTGGTAAAGACCGCGCTAATATCCTGCTCGCAGGTCGCGGTTGGGAAGTCGTTGATAGATGTATGTGACACGTTTTCAACTTTCCTCGTAGATATTAATGCAAGTCCCAAATCCAGTCCGATGCTCGGCGGCGTCCAGACCAGCTCAAAAATACTCTTCAAATACCACGAGATTGTTTTGATGACGTTCGAGATGGTGTTCATGTGCGCCTGTCAGCATTTCAATTGATTGGTTCTTATTCTCACCTCCGTTTTCTCAGTCGCCTGTGATACGTGACACCTATGCTCGTTTCCCTGGTCACCGCACTCTCACACTTTCGGAGAGTCCACATGCACTCCTTGATGGCATTTCGTCGCCATTCAATCGCTCTCAGCCAAACAAAATCGAAATCCAGCACCACCAACAGCCATCTACTACTCCTCGCTATGATTCTAATGTCAATGAGGTTGCTGTAGTCACAGCCAAACAGGTATGTACTTCTTAAGTCGTGTTTCCCAACACCGAAGTCGAATTATCTCTGAAGGCATTTTTTGCTGCTCCACAGCCGGAACTACATTGGGACAATACGAAACAAGCACAGCAGCCAGGCTCATCTCAAAATCAACCCCCGGCGTTACCATCACGCTCTCAGTCTGCCGCCACCTCCATACTTCCTCCTTCTGCTAGTACTTTCACGTTAGGTGCAACAGGTGCACGTTCAGAAACCGCTCTTATCATCAGAAAGCCCACATGGTGGACTCGTTTCTTGTTCTCTGTCTGCTGTGTATCTACTGAACTCATTGATGGTCATCAATGAAGACACAGTACATGGACGAGTAGTTTATGTTCATACCTCGTTCTTTCTATTGCTATGTTGTAATTTTTATCGCTGGCATGTCAATACCCATCCTCACTTTCTAATCTTGTATTTGGACGACTTCCTTACCCTGCGTTCATTCAAAGGGAGTATTTAACCATGTGTGTGCGCTTGATATTAGTCCCACCTCAAGACATGAATCGACTACTACGAATTTTTCGAGATTCACGCCGGGTACAGAGAATCAAGCGGCAATAACGGCAGGCATAGTTATATATCATCAACCAGACAGTCATCGTAGGCAGCAAGGTACTTTCATTCCTTAATTCACCCCCTTTGATTTATGTCACGGAATGTACATCACGAGTAGCGACTGCAGACACAATTTGGAAGCGCGTACAATAATCACCGAGTGGGCTTAACCAAGCACCTTGCCAATGAATGAAGCACTTGCCTCTTCCGTGAGGTTAAAGAGAAGTCTCGTCTTGTTTTGAGAGTATCTCAAAGCGTCCTTCCACTCTGCCGTTTTAAAAGGTCTGGCTTCCCCACAGCGAATTGAATCGAGACGTCGCTGAAACCAGAACTCGCACGAAGTATTCCAGTAGCCCGTCCACATGCTGCATTTATCGAATACATTGGGCCGTGGCCACCAGGACAGCGTTTTCCACTGCTTTCGTCTACCGCCTTCCACTAAAAGGTCGTCGAGAAGTCAGAATAAGTTTTGAGTTCTCACATGGAATTTTAAGGTTTACCTGCAACATAATATACACCGCAGATCAGGTCCACTTCATCATCGGTAAGAGTATCATCCCATGCTGTCCAGGTTACTCCATCGCTGGTGGACGAGGGAAATCGTTTAGCTTCTCCGAAAAGCCTTACATCTGAGGACGGCCCATTGACGAGGCCTAGACGTTCCTCAAAAGACGCTTTGCATAACCGCCACAGGATGCCTCCTCTGAGAAGCGCAGCACGTGCGTGGGGGTGCTTCAGGAAATCCTCGCGTCGTAATTCGTAGGTTTTGTAGGTGTATGCGTTGGGCTGAAATGAGAATGGTCGACTGAGATATTCGAATACAGTCTCAGGACGGGTCAGTTTGTGAGGAGGATTAGGGGATAGCGCTAGCGTGAAGAATGGGATCCCTAAACTGACGAATTTTCCGATAAGGTCTTCCAATGAAGATCCCCACTTGTTCCTAACAACTTGAACGACTGTCGTAGCGTGCGGGACGACGAGAGTCCATGACCGGATGTGACGTTTGTCTGAAGGGATGATGGAGTAGACAGGCGGAGTGAATTTGGCTTCATAGACAAATCTGAAGGTAGTATCCGCCGAGGCTTCCTTCAAAGAATCATTGGAGTCATGTAGGTCCCATAGTGCAGGGGGTAGGGGGGTGCCCTCCTTCACATGCAAGAAGATATGCCGAATGGATGCAACATTGTTTTCATCTTGTAATTGGGCATCTGTCTCTGCCATATACCTGCGCACCTCAGAGATGGCAGGTGTTTCATCATGCATACCCTCATAGCTCGGGAGAGGCTCCAAAATCCGCTGTGGACAAGGCTTTATGCCGTACCTTTCTCTCAAGATGGTCTCCAGATATTGTTGGGGTAACTTTTGGCCCCCGTCAATGTCATGGTCCTCCTCGGAACTGTCAGGTGTAGCAACGCTCTGTATTTCTGGAATCGCAGGGCCTGGATCTACAGTACGATCTGTTGCCAATTCTACGTGCCCTCGTGGAACGCTCTTAGATGGCACGGTCTGCACATCCTCCAAGAACTCATCGAAGGTGGAGTACGAGCAGGGTTGAACCGTGCGGGAGGATTCACTGCCCATCGAGTGCTGTGGTTGTGGAGTTAGGGTCATCTTTAGTTGAGGTCGAGTTGGAGTGAGTAATTATGGCTGTGTAATAAGTTAACTACAGAGTGCACAGCGATAATGATAGTGAGTTCGTACCTAGGCAATAAGTTTGGCCGACGGCAGATCGTTAGTGGTCAAATAATAAGGTTGGATTGTTCCTCTATGAATGGAATGAGATCGACTAGACTGCACGGTGAAACTTTTCAACTCGGTGTAAGCGACAGAATGCTTGGGAATGACTGGACTGCATCGACCAGAGATGGATTTATATACGTCG